ACCAAGTCAAGGGTTAAGATCCCCTTACCGGTCATCTTTAAAAAAAAAAAAAAAAAAACAATAAAAATTAATACAATTTTTAAAACAATACAGTGTAACAACTACTTACATAGTTCTCACATTGTATTAGGTGTTATAAGTAATCTAGAGATGATTTAAAGTGTGCAGGAGGAGATACTCTGCCATTTTACACAAGAGGCTTGAGCACCCCTGGATTTTGTTATCCATGGAGGAGTTGGGGGTGGGGGTCCTGGAACCAGTCCCCTCCAGAAACTGAGGCACAACTATTTTGATTCTTGCTCAGTGGATTGGTTTTAAGCTTTGTGTAATGGGACCGTTCAACGTGAGCTCTCCTGTGCCTGTCTGCTTTTGCTCAGCCTTCCACCTGGGAGGTCCACCTGTGCTGTGTGTGGCACATGGGAGGGCGCTCTGCCTTCTCAAGGTCACTCTCCCTTGCCGGATGTTTGGGTGTTAGGAACAGTGCTGCTGGGGACATTTTCACTACAGACTTCCACAGGGCGGGGGTGCGGTTCCTTCAACAACGTAATTCACATAAAAATGCAGCAGTCCTGGCTTGCTGCCTGGGAGTTCCATGTGGCAGTTCTAGTTTTTAGACCTGCAGAATCTCTGATTTTATTTACTGGCTTCTGTGCTGGGCCAGTCCCCCTCCCTCTTTTTATTGGCAATTAAGGAATTAGAAACAGTAGGACTTGGGGGCAACGTGGTCCCATGACCTGATCTTGGCGGCTGTGTGTCTTCCACTGCCTGGACGGGAGGCAGTCAGCTTTTCTGATCTTGAGAGACAATGAACTAGTAGAGTCTCGGACTTCATACTCATAAAGTGCCAGTGGGAAAAAGACTGCTCCTCACTGCGACCATATCCTTAGATCTATGCTTTTCTCAGACTTCATCTCTTTGTGTTCTTTGCTGGAAGCGCCAGGAGCAGCCAGCGCAGGCCAGCGCCCTAGCTCCCTGAGCACTGTTCCCAAGCTCTCCGTGGGCTGGGCTGATGGGCACACAGTTTGCCATTTGCTTTAGCAAATCCTTGGCTGTGGCCTGCCAGTGTTAACTTCCTTCCGGCCAGTACCGCGTACTTCAGGTTTTTGTTACAGCGAAACTCCACCTCAAGGTATTGACTTTTGTGTCAGGATGTTGGTTCACACAGTAAAGATACAGGATGCTGAAGAGGTGGCAGCTCTGCAGTGCTAGAGCTGAGGGTGCTCTGCATGTCGAGGCTGTCCAGGCACACGGGTCCTTCGACTGTGTTGCTGTGCTGCTGCCTGGTGGTCTCATTGGCACGTTCCAAATGGGCTCACCAGGCCTGCTGCACCCAGGCCCAGGATGACAGGAGGCTGGGACCCGAAAGGTGCTCGTTTCCCACTGGCCAGAACTTCACCACATGCCACACTGACTGCGAGGGAGGCTGGCTGAATCTGTCACCAGCAGAGGAGAGCGCAGTGCTGCAAGACACAAGCAGTCCACCCCAGCCTTCTTGAAATGGCTGGCTTTCCAGTTATTTCTGTCACTTTCTCGTGCAACAGTGTGGAATTAAGGGGCTGCTGTCATGTAGGAATAATGGCACCATGTACTGAGTGTGTGATGTGTGCACGTGTTTAGAACATTCATACAACACATGCCTACACGTGTTGCTGTATGTCAGGAATTGTTCAAGGTGCTGAGGGGACAGAACAAAGTCCCTGCCGACGTGGCGCCTGCATGCTGGTGGGGCGGACAGCAGCAGACATCGTTTGTTGAATGTGGTGTGTGTGCATGTGTGCATATATTACAGTTCGTCGACTCTAAGATGCACGTTTTTTTCATGTTTTAATGTCTCTGAAATTGAGTTGCCTCTTGGAATTGGTGGAATATTTTAAACTGGTACTGTTACTTTCCTTCATGGCACATGAAATAGTGCTGCATCTCATAACTGTTGGCATCTTAGGTGGATAAATTATGATTCATCAGTTAGAAGGAACCGTGGGGAGAAATCAGGAGTGCTGGAGGGCTGGGGGCCAGGGGTGCGGTTTTACGGGTGATGAGGGAAGGACTGTGATCAGGTGGCATGGACACAGACACCTGGGGACATGGAGTGAACTACACACATGTCTTTGAAAAGACAAGAAGTGCAAAGGCCCGAGCAGGCAAGGCACAGGCCAGGGCAGCTGGGAAAGGGAGCAAGGGGAGGAGTTGGCAGGGACGGGGTGGGGTAGTGGGATGGCCAGACTGGGGTGGCCACTGCAGGAACCCTGGCTTCAACTTAGTGGAGGAAGGAGACCCTTGGAAGTTTCTGAGTAGAGAAGCAACCTCTGATTTGTGCTTTCAGAGGGCCGTTCTGCTGGCTGTGTGGAGGTGCGGAGACAGGTGAGGAGGCCACAGCACATGTGTGGTGAGGCTCCGTGGTGGCGGCTGGTAGCACTGCAGCTTGTGAGACAGTCAGACGCTGGGGGTCGTCCAAGGGCCCAGCCAATGAGGTCTGCCAGTGGATTGGATGAGAGTGTGATCAGAAGAAAAGGGGTCGAGGGTTATTGTCATGTCTGTGGCCTGAACATGTGGGAGAGTGGCATTCTGGCTAAGATGGAGAAAGCTATGGACGAGGTGGATTTGAGGAGGAGAATCAGAAGTGAAGTTGGACATGTTAGGTGTGGAAAGCTTCCGAGAGCATGCCAGTGAAGATGCCAGGTGGAGAGCCGGCAAATATGGAGGTCTGGCAGGAGGCCAGACTGCAGGAGCAGTGAGTGAGCTTCGAGCAGTCGATGCGTTTATATCCCAGCGTGGTGAGCTTGCCCATGGGATGGAGAAGGTGGAGAAGGGTCCAAGGACCACCCTTTCACATACCGGGCTCCGACGTGTGGGGAAGGAGCTGAGGGTGAGGAGCTCTGGGAGAGGTTGTCCCAGACCCAGGTGAGGACAGTGGTGGCAGGAGGAGCACATCATTGGCTGTGTCGGGTGCAGCACACGTGGAGTTGGATGAGCAATTGGCCCCAGATGTGGGGATGTGGTGGACCTTTGGGGGTGAGAGTCTGACTGGAGCGGGTCAGACAAGGAGAGGGAGAGGAGGGATCGAGCACAGGTCAATGTAGAGTTTTGCTGTAGAGAAGAGGAAAGGGTAGGAGTTGGGGCGGAATCGGGTCCAGGAAATGTTTGTTTTCTACGTGGTGGAAGCTCTAGCAGTCTGGTGTGCAGATGGAATGACGGACTGGGAGGGCAGGGCCCATGGCTGAGGAGAGAGAAGGAAGGGGGTGGCTCCAGTGGTGTCCTTGAGTAGGAGGGATGGCCCTAACACACAGACGCGGAGCTGATCTCAGTGTGGGCCGAGGGCTGTGTGGCAGGAGGGAAGGCAGAGGTGCAGGCAGGTCATGGGGTGGGTGGAGGGTGTGTTCTTGTGTCACTGCTTCTCTTCCTCATGGAAAGGGGAAGCAAGGCTGTCAGCTGGGAGGGAAGGGAGGGCTGGACCTATAGGAAGAGGGAGGAGCCGAGATGGCTTCGTAGGACACAAGGGAGGTGTGAGAACAGTGTGAGAACTCAGGCAAGGGCTGTAAAGGCACAGAGCGCCCACTCGTCTTCAGCAAGAACGTGGATGCAGACCAGTACGAAGGCAGGGCTGAGCCAGAGTTGGGGTTTTCCCACACAAGCATGATGGAGGAAGAAAAGGGCAGGGGAATTAGGATCACATGCAAGATGGTGAAAATATGGAACCTGAAGTGAATGCAGTAGCACAGACCTTGGGTTCTCAGCTGGATAAGGAGGGAAGGGGTGAGGATAGTGGAGAGGTGGAAGCATTGATAAATTTGTATGTTTCTTTGGAAATATGTGTCTTGACTTTTGAGGGAGTCCAAGCTGTATCCCTACGCCTGTCCCACCATCCAGATTTCACTGAGGGACAGAAGAATTGTATGCACCATAGGCCAGTCTGCTCTGGAGCTGGATGTGTTAGAGGTGGGAGGGCTGAGTGGGGTGAGACCAGGGCTGTGGGCAACAGCACGTCAGGCTGGGAGCGTGGCACGGAGGAAACACTCTCCTCTCCCACTTCCAAGATATGAGTTTTTCCTCCCCCTGCTTTAGCAGATTCCTGCTTGCTAATAAAGGGGAAAGATAACTTTATTCTCTTTTGTTTCAGATTCTAACATAGGACCTGGACAAGAAGGTGACTCCACAGCCTGGATTTCTGAGAATGAAAATTTGCATAAAACAGTGTCAGACCAACTCACAGTGATGGAGCCCCCCGCCCCTGAGTCTGGGGAAGTCCGTGAACCCAGATTAGGAGGGCTGTTGGGAAACCCAAAAGGGCAGAGCCTGGGGAATTGCCCCTCTCAGGAAGGGGGCTTCAAGCAGGTGACAGTTACCCACTGGAAAATCCAAGCAGGAGAGACAGCCCAGGTGTGCAGTAAGTCAGGGAGAAACACTATTCTGAACTCAAACCTTCTTATACTTCAGAAAGAGCTCATAGGAGGGGAGACCCATCCTTGCAATATCTGTGGCAAAAGCTTCACATTTAATTCAGACCTAGTTACACATCAGATTTCTCACACTGGGGAGAAACCTTATAGATGTGATCAATGTGGGAAAGGCTTTGGTCAGAGCTCACACCTTACTGAGCATCAGAGAGTTCATGCTGGAGAAAGACTCTATGTGTGCAATGTGTGTGGGAAAGACTTCATTCACTATGCACATCTTATTGAGCATCAGCAAGTCCATACTGGAGAAAAGCCGTTTAAATGTGCTCAGTGTGGGAAAGCGTTTTGTCATAGCTCAGACCTGATTCGACACCAGAGAGTTCACACCAGAGAGAGACCTTTTGAGTGCAAAGAATGCGGAAAGGGCTTCAGTCAGAGCTCCTTACTTATTCGGCATCAGAGAATTCACACGGGAGAAAGACCCTATGAATGTAACGAATGTGGGAAATCTTTCATCAGGAGCTCGAGCCTTATTCGACATTATCAGATCCACACAGAAGTGAAACAGTATGAATGCAAAGAATGCGGGAAGGCCTTCCGCCACCGCTCGGACCTTATTGAGCACCAGAGAATTCACACTGGGGAGAGGCCCTTTGAATGTAATGAGTGTGGGAAAGCCTTTATTAGAAGCTCCAAGCTCATCCAGCATCAGAGAATTCACACTGGAGAGAGGCCTTACGTATGTAACGAGTGCGGGAAGCGCTTCAGCCAGACGTCAAACTTCACGCAGCATCAGAGGATTCACACCGGAGAGAAGCTCTATGAATGTGATGAGTGTGGGAAAGCCTTCTTTCTGAGTTCATACCTTATTCGACACCAGAAAATTCACACTGGGGAGAGAGTGTATGAATGTAAAGAATGCGGGAAAGCTTTTCTCCAGAAAGCCCATCTCACTGAACATCAGAAGATCCACACTGGGGACAGACCCTTTGAGTGTAAGGACTGTGGGAAAGCCTTCATTCAGAGCTCCAAGCTACTTCTGCATCAGATCATTCATACTGGAGAAAAGCCATATGTGTGTAGTTATTGTGGGAAAGGCTTTATTCAGAGGTCAAATTTCCTTCAACACCAGAAAATTCATACTGAAGAGAAACTCTATGAATGTAGTCAGTATGGAAAAGATTTTAAATCAACCCCAAACTTTAAAAATAATCAAGGTGTTCACCAGGAGGGACTCTCCTTGAGTAAGGCGCCCATGCCTTTGGGTGAGGTGTCTGTAGGTCATGGGGAAGATACAGATAACTTATAATTATTGGGATTCACGTGGCTTCTAAGGCTTGGACATGTCAGAATCTTCTAAATCATGCATGGGGCTGCTTTTGGAGTGGGAAACCATCTCCACTTGGCAGCACTACTGGACTTCAGTCCTCTTCCTCAGCTGTGAGTGTTGTCCTCAGGAGAGCCGTGGACTTTACAACTGATTTTGAGCTGGAATGGGAAGTGGGTGGTGCGGGTCTCAAGGAAAGACTTCTGTATTTTATTCACTATTACAACCCGTCCTTGAGTTAAATCCCTTTTAGAGCAAAACTGTGTATCTGATCTTATTACTTAAAAGAATGTTACTTAGCAAATTTTACTCAAGTTAGAGAAAGATACTTTTTAATGCAAACTTTAGAATTGGTTCTCTGTCATGCTTAGGATGAACTCCAAGCTCTCACCACGTGTCCTAAGACCTTTTGCTCCCTTGGCCTCGTCTCCCACTGCTTTAACACCCTGCCACATGGTTGATGCTCTGGGAGCACCCACTGCCTCCTGCATCCCACATGCTCCAAGCTGTTTCCTGCCTCCCACCCTTGTCCTTATGTGACAGGTGTCCTCCTTTTCTCAGCTGATTAACTCCTGATCTTTATTCAGTACTCACCTCAGGCGTCACGTCCAAGCACAGTTCCCTCCGGCGCAGCCAGGTAGTCCTCTTCTGCACTTCTGTTACTCCCTCTGTTACTGGACGTAACGTTGATATATCACCATGAGGATTCTGTATGTTCTCTTTCATTATGGTCCCAACTCCTTGAGGACAGTGGTCATATCTGACTAATCCATGTATCCCCAGTGTTCCGTGCAAGACAGAAACACACCCCAAATCTACGTGTAATTGGTGTCTCTCGCTTTGTCCTTTATATACTTCTTTTGTTTTGAAATTTGGGTGTTTTTTGTTGTTTTGTTCATTTTGTGTCAGTATAATCTGCTGTTCTATGGGAAGTATTCTCTCTCAGCCCTGCTAATGTCTTTTGCTCTTGCTTAACTCAGAAATTGCAGACAAGTAGCCACTATACACTGGATGTGGTGGCACTGTCTGCACTTAATTGTCTATGAGTTTTTCTAACCCACTGAAGGGGCACGCAGTCCCGATACATGACATAATGTTTTTCTGCCTTAGCAGTTCCAGGATTGAACTCAACTTGTCACTTTCCCTGCTGTGGCTCATGTAGTCATGTATTTGAAAATGTATCGATGCCCATAAGGAAGTTGTAAATGTTGGGAAGACAGATGAGTAGGGCACCGTCCCTCCTGAAGTTGTTCAGAGTAAAGTGGGGAGGACAGAAAGGACACGGGACAGTGGGTGAAGTTTGTTTTAAGCTGTGTAGAAGCATAGGGAAGGAGTTCGCTAATGTGGCGTGGAAGGCCTGGGAAGGCTCCACAGAAGAAGTGACATAACGGGTCTGGAGAGCTCAGTGGACATTTCCCAGCTAGTGAGGGAAGGGTGACCTGGGAGAGGGAGTCTGCAGAGACAGGGGGGCAGGACGGGTTGCTCCTAGCAGATTTAATGCACGGTGCATAGCCGTCTAGCAAAACTATTAGTCTCCACCTCTGAATTTCTTTCATCTGAACATTAACCCCAACAACCAATTCTGAACTGACAGAAAACAATTTTTGCTGAGGAGGGCATATTTTGAGTTTTTAACAAACTCCAGCAACCTTAGAAGCCTTGAGGGGGCAGATAATTCATATAGTACTCCATTTTCTGGAAAACTCACCAATATTAGAGATGTCTGAAATGGTATAGAAGCGGATATTACCAGATCATTTTAAGCAACTTTACTGAGGTTCAATTTCCATGCAATAGAACACCTATTTTAGTTGTACAGTATTTCAAAAATATCAGCCCTATAACCACCACCACGATCCAGAAAAATAACATCTCTGTCACCCAGAAAAGTTCCCTTTTGCCTTTTCCCCAACCCCTGGTAACCACTTTCTGTCCGTGTAGATTAGCTTTGTGTGTTCTGGAACTTCAGATAAATGGGTTCATGTAGTATGTACTGCCTTGTGTGTGACTCTCTTCGCTTTGGCATGATTTTAGACACGACCAGTTCTGTGTTGGGTAGTTCTCTTTGCACATAGTAGTGCTCCATTGTATGGGCAAGCTGTCCTTTGTTTATTCACCCTGCTGTTGATGGAAATTTGGGTTTCCAGTTTGGGCTCTTAAGAATAAAACTGCTATGAGTATTTGTGTAAAAATATTTATTTGCACATGTGTTTTTATTTTTCTTGGGTAAATAAATACCTAGGACTTTACTTGCTCGTTATAAGTTAAATGTCTTAGTCCATTCAGGTTGCTGTAACAAAATACCATGGACTGGTGGCTTATGAATGACAGAAATAAATTTCTCACATTTCTGGAGGCTGGGAAGTCCAAGATCAAGGTGCCAGCAGATTTGGTGTCTGGTGAGAGCCACTTTCTTCACAGATGGTGTCTTCTCATGTCTTCACATGGTGGAAGGGACTAGGGAGCTCTGGGGCCTCTTAGCAGGGCACTGATCCCATCTATGAGGGTCTACCCTCATGACCTCATCACCTCCCGAAGGCCCCACCTCCTAATGCCATCACCTTGGGAGTTAGAATTTCAACATACGAATTGGGGTGGGGTGGGGACATAAACATTCAATCCATTGCAGTGAATGCATTTTTAACTTTTTTTTTGTCCTTTTTTGAGACCGGCCGCACTGCGCTCAGCCAGTGAGCACTGTGAGCGCACCGGTCATCCCTATATAGGATCCGAACCCGCGGCGGGAGCGCTGCTGCGCTCCCAGCGCCACACTCTCCCGAGTGTGCCACGGGCTCGGCCCATTTTTAACTTTTTAAGAAATTGCCACACAGTTCTTCATAGTGTTCATACCGTTTTACACTCTTAGCCACAGCAAGTGAGAGTTCCAGTTGCTCTGCATCTTTGCTAACACATGGTATTGTCAGTCTCTTAAAATTTGACCCATTTCATCTCTATGATTTTAATTTGTGTTTACCTGCTGAACGGTCATGTTCAACATCTGTGATTTCGTGTGCTTGTTGACATTCTGTGTTTTGTAATGTGTTCACATCTTTTGCCCATTTTTAAGTTGGGTTGTTTCTTACCAACTCGTAAGAGTCCTTTTCATATTCCAGCTGAAAATCTCTTTTCAAATATGTATTTATTATGGGCCGGCCCGGTGGCGCACTGGATAGTGCGCCACTTGGGAAGCGTGGCGGCGCTCCCGCCCGAGGGTTCGTATAACTTCGTATAATGTATGCTATACGAAGTTATGCCGGTTTTACAATCTTTCACA